GTTGGAAGGAGCTGGCGAGAAGATGATATCGTCCAATTGCATCATCACGTGATCGATATGACAGAATAAAATTAGAGGATTGGACAAAGGATTGGCATTCCGCGAAAGAGCTGGAAGCTAAAACAGGTCCATTGAAAGTTCTAGAATCATCAGAACATTGTAATCAGATCATATGTGGTATGATGAATGACGTATGATGAGAATTCACCGTCTAGTTTGAAGAAAGTAACGCATTCCAAATTTGGATCAATGTTACAGAAATTGTATAAAAGGAGCTGATATGAACAGGATTGTAAGTGGTCGTGGTTGTAAGATAGCCACGGAGAGATATAAGTACTCAATTCCTAATCCGCTTTATTATTTAGATCAATTATGAACGAATTGAATGAACAATTTGGAAACCTATCAACCTCCGACAAGGAAAAACCTCATCAATTATTTAGATCAACTATGAACGAATTAAATGCGCACTTCAGAAATCTATCAACCACCGACAATCACAAACCTCAACACTTGAACTGTAATAGCGCGCTAAAATGGAAGTGCACAGTCAGGAGGTAATTAGCCTTTTTGAATGAAGCTTCATCGCGAGCATTGCTGTTTGGAGAAAATGTTTCCAAAAGAAAAGGTCGTCAAATTGCGCTACTATCGAGATGCTCGTGCGACGAAGGCGCTTGGATTACATCACGTGGCTATGATGAGAATAATCTAAGTAGCGAACAAATTGACAGATCGATCTAATCCCCTGGTCTAAGTACCTACGAGAATTGCCATGGACCCTTTTACACGCGGGCTAGCTACAACTGTAATTTCTAGTTGTGTAATAGCAGTTCAATTATTCTAACACTTCAAATATAAACTTAACAAGTTTTCGATTACTGACTGCCCACTGCCCTAAAACTCTCATATAACCGTAATACCAGCTTGCCTTTTGGTTCAAGTGTCCTTAAAACAAGTCTGTGCATCTTTTGGAAGGTCTGATTATCAAATCTCAAGACTGTTTCTTTACTGCCTCCTCAGTTCTTTGTCACTTCTTTCCCTTCTTTTTAATCCTGCAGACTTGTGGGCATCCATTGGAAAAGTTCTCGGCTGCAGACCACTGTAAAACCAATCGATTAGGGTTACGACATCATACACGGGAAGGCCAGTTGCTTTACCAATGGCTGTCGAAAACGGAGGCATTTGAGTACATTCCAGAACAAATGCGGTGATTTGTTGATCCTTTTCCAAGAGCTTTAAGGCGCAATCGATGAGCTCTGCCTCTAGCTCTTCATGAATGTAAGGCGCTCCATCTCGAATGATGCCCCTAAGACAACCATTCGCGGGACAGCCGATCACTGTTAACCTACTACGCATACTGTCTTCAATTCCCACGCCTTTGAAATGCACATCACCCAGTGTTGCACTATCAAAAGTAATAACGCCTAGATGCTCGTTCTGGGGTCTCATTGCTAGGAGAGGAGGAATTTGAAGTAGACTACTCGTAGCAATAGGAATCGGGACTTTCGAAGCGAGTCTCTGTTGTACTTGGGCTAAAAAGCCACAAGAGGTAATGATCCCCACCGCCCCACGTCGTGAAAGTTTCAAACAGGCTTCCGCAAACCGCTCTAAGAATTCTTCTGAGAACGCTTCAGCACTCACGACATTCCACAATGATGCTTGTTCAACTTTTTCATGTAAAAGAGGAAACTTAAACGACAGGCCATTCAAAGGATCTCCCGGAGGTCTGTGTATATCCTCCGTATAATCCAAGCACAATGCGCCTAATGGAGGCAAGTTTTCTGTTGAAGGATAAAAAGACATTTTTCAATCAGTTAGTGTTCAGAGGAAACCTAAATCTTGAAATTTGGTTTGAATTTAGTGCAGCTTTAAGTAGCGGCATCTTAAAAGTGTCGCATTATTCAAATGAGGTATCCAAGACCATGGAGAATAGATCCTAGTGTGTAACGTTTCTAATGACTTGCAAACAGCAAGGAAAATCAACTCTTATCGCAGCTATCTTATCTCGAAAATGTGGAAAGATACGAAACAATTTAAATTAAATGCAGAGTGAGGTGTGAATCAGCGCTGAAAAGCGACGAGTCCTGGATTCCCTCAGGACTACACATCGCTCATCAAATTCTCCAGCATAGCAACGTGCGCTCGAATGGAGTCTAGTACCAATGTCAATTTGAGCGACCAACACACGGACGTATCTTCAAGAAACCCGTATCAAGAAGAAACTGCGCGGCTGAAGACGTCGCGGTCCTTTTCCAATCTAGCGGTAAATTCCGACTCTGGAAACAAATTGAAACTCAAAGCGACCATCAACAAGGGTTTGAAAACCCGAGCAAGTAGTAAGCATCAAATGGCCGCATGTTGCTTCTGCAAAAAGCGACGAAAGAAATGCGACGGCGGCTTTCCTACATGCGGCGGATGCAAGCAGAATAACATTCAGTGCACTGTGATTGACATCCCAACAGGGAGAGAAATTCCAAGAAACTATCTAGATGTTCTGGAGACCAAAATAGAGTTATTAGAGAAAGAGCTGGGAGGTGCCAGTAAATTAATTGAAACACTCTCAAAGTCCCAAGAAAGCATCGACGGGTTGTCGGAGAGTAATCGAATTGCAGATCGAATTGAAGACCAGAAGCATTTCGGAGCAGATAGGGACAAAGGACTCCCATTGGAAGTTGGCTACATTACCCTAACTGCTGCTGGAGAGCCTAGATACATTGGCGCAAGTAGCGCTTTTTCGATAGCCAGGGCTATACATAGTACAATAAGATGCTATGGACAACAGAAGACACCCCACGACTCGAGTATTTATCCTGAAGCCGATGGGTTGTCGTTGAATCGTACGCCCAAAATGGTTGAAGCTGTTTTTCAAAAACCTAGTTTTGAAGATGGTCGCTATCTTTTGAAGGCTTATCGTTACGGCGTTCAATTTCAATATCCTTTTTTGGACTGGCAATGGGTAACAAGCTGCTTCAAGAATGTTATGAAAGATGATTCGGAAGAGGACGAACCGCTTTTCTTTGTTTATATGATCTTTGCGATTGGCAGTCAGCTCTTAGACCATTCTTCTAGCACTTTCTCGGATAATCATACCAAGGCTTTTTACGATAAAGCTTTTGATCACATAGGATCGATTGTCAAGGAAACTACGGTTCGTGCTGTCCAGGCGTACCTTCTGCTAAGTGTCTTCTCTCAAAAAATGCCATACGGCAGTTCCATCTGGCAAACCACGGGTCTGGCTGTTAGAACTTCAGTGGCATTAGGGCTGCATCGCAAACCATACGTCAGAAATAAAAGCGACTTTTCAAAGAACGATTGGCCGGAACAGGACCTGAAGTGCCGTATTTTCTGGTGCGCATACAGCATGGAGCGGATCAATGGGTTGATTTTAGGCCGACCTTTTGGAATATCCGATGCGGATATTGACGTTCCCATTCCGCAGTCAAGTGAATACGAGGTTGCAGCTCATGTGTTCAAACTACGAATGCTTCAGTCCACCATTTGCTCGTTTGTTTACAAACCACGGCCTTATGCTGCCAGCCTGGAGGATACTAATGCTACGCGGCATGAGATTTTGTTAGAACTTAATGAATGGAAGTCTACCTTCCCCCATAAGAAACGAGCTAAAAGTACTTGGGAAACCGAAAATTGGTGCACGATTTCCTATCACAACTCAATTTTGCTTCTCCTGAGACCCGTGGTCTTGGAAGTGGCAGAATTAAAGGAAAAGATGCCACCAATCACAGCAAAATGGTTTGGCATTTTCGCTCAATCCGCGTCGGCTATATGCTTAAACTATAAACAGCTGCATAGCAAGCAAAAAATGAGCTATACCTGGCTCGCCATACAATGCGTCTTTGTATCGGGGCTATCGTTCCTTTATTGCATGTGGCTAAATTCTTCCTCCTCCTTGAACTTATTGAAATGGGCTCGGGGAAGCATCATATATGACACAATTTCTGCATGTTCCAACATTCTATATGTCTTGGCGGAGCGCTGGAGTGAAGCTCAAATATTTCGGGATTCATTTGAACGCATGTCAAAAGCCGTTCTCTCACACATAGAGAAAACCAACGGCGATGAGTCACACGTCACGTCTGATGAGCTGTCGTCTCAAAGCCAGACGTGCGGCTCCGCCCTAGAAACTGGAGTGAGCCTGAATTCTGATCAAACAAAAATCAGCTACGAGATTGATATAAATCAGACGTGTCGTCGCCAGAACCAGGGATTGACGGACGGCCTTTCTTTTGCAAATCCGCAGAATTCTTCAGCTGGCTCGTCCCCGGAAATGGTCTCCATGGCTATCGCGGGCATTGTCGATCGCTCTTACGACGGAGAGGCTGTCTGGGACTTCATTAGCAATACCGAAGACAACTTTGTCAAGGACATGTTTTATGATTTAGAGACAGCTTTTGAAATTTAACAAACTTGGCATCAATCAAATCTACATTATTAATATCTATTGTGTGATCAAACGTCGTATGTAACATTATTGAAATACAAGTCAAATCAAATCACACTGCCAGCATTATCAGCATCGTAAAGTATGCCGTTGATGAAGTGCGTTTGGAAACTAGCGGATATTATTTAATGTAATCTCCTTAGTGAAGCTGGCCTCTATATTTTTGATAATTTTGAACACTATTCATGCCCGTTCGTGCCGTCTTTCGGTCTATTAGAAACTCATCAGTGTCTATAGCTAGCTTCATTGTTGTTCAGAAAATTGATCCACATCTCAAAAGATTCTTCAAAGCCTTTGAGATCTGAGCTTATCTTGATCTTCACGCTCTGTGTATCGCGTACTCCCGATAGTTTGAAGATGTCTGTTTGGTCGCATGAGGGGCGCCGCTCTTGCTGTCGCTTTCCTCACAATCAGTGAGTGTCGTAAACTTCCGAAAAATATATTTTCAGGCTGATAGAAAAAGATTTTGACGATATCAACATCTAGTGCGAAAACTGATCAAGTCGATGCAGTCTTGATAGAGGTCAAATAAATCTCATGAAAAAAGGATTTATAACAGGGGCAAGTTTTCGCTGAAATGGCACTTCGAAATTATTGTCGTACTTGACAGATATTGTCATACTCGGCTGATCGACTTAGAAATGAGCCAAGAAAAGAGTGCTGACAACTCGTTGAAGAGGGTGCCTAGCCCAGCTGTTGTTTCAATACCCTCCATTGAGGGAGAGGTCATCACAATTAATAAGGGAGATGTGGATCAGGCTATGTACTATGCGCTAGACGCGCAAGGCTTGGATTTAGACCCAGTATATGAGCGGAAACTGCTTCGCAAGATAGACTGGTGTATCCTCCCAATCGTCGTATGCTTGATGTCATGTCAACTCATGGACAAAACGACAAACTCCTATGCTTCTATTATGGGCCTCACTAAGGACCTCGATATGAAAAGTCAGACATACTCTTGGGTGGGAAGTTCTTTCTACTTTGGCTATCTGGTGTTTTCGTTTCCAGCAAATCTGTTACTCCAAAGGTTTCCGTTATCAAAAACACTTGGCATCGCGGTAATCTTGTGGGGCATCATTCTTATGTGCCATGCGGCATGCTATTCATCTGCCCCCTTCCTTGTATGCCGTGTTTTACTAGGTGTTTTTGAAGGGTTCATGAATCCGGCATACATCCTTCTAACAGCACAATGGTATAAGAAGAGTGAACAGTTCATGCGGTCCTGCATTTGGTTCGGATTTCAAGGTTTTGGAACTATTTTAGGAGCGGGAATTGCTTACGGGCTTGCTTCGCATGAGTACCCTATATCATCCTGGAGACTTCTTTACATTATTACAGGTGTCATCACGATTGCGCTTGGCATTATCTCTATCGTTCACATACCCGACATCCCAGTCAAGGCATGGTTTTTGAATGAGACTGAAAGAAAATACTGCGTGGAGAGAATCAGATCTAACCAGCAAGGGTTTGGAAATCAGCACTTCAAGAAAGTTCAGCTGATCGAAGCTTTTAAAGACCCGAGAACTTTGATCTTGTTCATTTACGGGATGGCGTACGCAATTCCAAATGGAGGTTTCACCAATTTTGGTTCAATATTACTCCACAAAGATTTTGGTTTCTCCACGAAAGAGTCTCTTTTAATGAATATGCCAGGTGGTGGTATTGATATTGTTATTCCCTTCGTCGTAGCGCTCATCAGCGTCAAGTTTTTTAAGGGAGATCGCTTGCTAATTTGCCTGGCCATAAACTCTTTGGTTATAGTCGGGATGTGTCTCCTGAATTTTACTTCCCACAAAGGATCAAAGTTAGCTGGTTACCTTTCATTCTATGCTGCGACCGCCGTTGTGTCGGGTATGGTATCCTGCATATCGTCAAACACTGCCGGTTACACAAAGAAAGTCACGGTAAATGCAGTTTTCCTTGTCGGCTACTGCGTAGGTAATATAATTGGGCCCCAAAGCTTTCGCGCTAATCAGGCTCCCAACTATGCCGGTGCAAAGATAGCTATGCTTATCTCATTCTGCGCAGCAGACGTCTGCGTTGCTTTGATGCACTGGCTAAACAAGAGGGACAATAAGATTCGCGATGACATGAAAGCCGCACAAGGCTCCGATTATCAAGAACCAGAGTATCTGGAATTTGCTGATTTGACTGATAAGCAGAACCCCGCTTTCAGATACTCACTGTAGTGACCCCAAGGGGCGTCTATTCTAAATATATATTCGATGTTGTTTTATAATGCTTAAAGAGGTAGCAAGGACTAAGAATACGAACTGGTGAGGAAGACTGAGACAGATACGGCGCAAATTTTGAATAACAAACTTTCAAACTGGCCACGCTAGGCCTATGCAGTGGTTACTTCGGTTGTGCCAGTTATCAGCTTTTTTTCCTTGAATATCGGAAACTTTCTTTTCGAAGATTCCCATATGAGCGCTGTCGGCTTGATCCGACTCACCTTTTCATGCCATTTCCCGTTTAATGTTAGCCGTTGATAAGAAAATACAGATATGATCAAAAAACCAAACGCTAGTCATTTGAGTTTATATAAAGACGCATGAAATCATAAATGGGCATAGAGCGCAGCATGACTTCGCTGCTCAGTCCTAAAGTGGTATAACAATAGATCATGCAGCTGCAAGAAAACGAGCCTATAATAATCGTCGGTGCCGGTGTTTCGGGTCTTTCCACGGCTTACGCTCTCTTGCAAAGAGGGTTTACCAATGTCCACATTTTCGACAAGAGAGACTACCTTAGCAAAGGTTACGACTATTTCCAAGGCTGTGACAGTGCGTCTTCAGACATGAACAAGATCTTTCGTGCTGCTTACGGAGAAGAAACGCACTACCAGCAAATGTCACTTGAAAGCAGGAAGACCTTCTTGAAATGGAACGAAATGATTAAGGAAAGCGACTTTGAGGGAGGTGAGCCGATCTATCTGAACAGTGGAAATATCCATTTGACGAGCCGCTCCACTTTGCCAATTTTTGAGCAACTGACACTTCAAAATATGAGCGATTCCGATGCAATTTGTGTCTCTGATGTTGATGCTGTCCAGAAAGCCCAAAAAGTGGGATTTCCGGCCTCTGCAATTGACCCCTTCGACATGAAACCAAGAGGTAAAAATCTTCAAGGCGTGTTGGATACCATCGGAGGAATGATAATTTCCGACAAGTGCTGTAGGTGGGTCCTCCATCTTTGTCTAAGTAATTTCCCTGGCGCGTTTCACATTCACTTTGGACCCGGGCCGGGAGAAATTGATCGCTTGCTCGTGGAGCGCTCGTCGGATACCAACGAAAAAAAGTGTGTCGGAATTAAAACCAAAGACGATCAAGAGCATTTTGCCAGACTCGTGGTCACGGCTTGTGGTCCTTGGACCGCAGCAGTTGTACCAGAGGCTGCTGAAAGAGTTGAGGCTACTGCTGGGACGGTAGCGTTGATGAGGATCACAAATCCTAAGATTGCTGAAAAATACAGCGAGAAGAACTTCCCTACGTGGACATATGATGTAAGGGACAAGGGAATTGGTGGCCTTTATGGGTTTCCTGTTCGCAATGGTTATATGAAGATTGGGTATAGAGGCCTGAAATGGACCAATCCTATGGGATCCATTAACTCCTCAGTGAAAACTGCTTTTAGTGAAGTTTCTGAGACTAATGTGCCATTATTTGGTCTTAAACTAATCAAGCAGTTCATTTCAGACAACATTCCTGAAGTGAAAAGGATCGATAAAACACGGCTTTGTTGGTATTCCGATAGCGAGGATAACGACTTTTTGATTTCATATTCACCTCATTACGCGGAAAAGTCTCTATTTACCATTGCTGGTGACTCGGGCCATCTTTTCATGATGTTTGGGAGCATCGGCGAAGTGATTGCCGATCTTATAGTCGATGCGAGTCCTGATTTGTTCCTAAAAGATCTCTTCTCATGGGGCAGGAAAAGAGACCCTCTTAACCATATCAACAGGGGTCTAGATGACCCCCGAGCATTGTGCAATCAGCTCATGGCTACTGAATCTGATTGGGTAATCAAAGAAAGCCCCAAGCTTTGATAAACAGTTGAAATAGTTCTTATAGATGATAATCAATAAATGGGCCATCGAAAGGCTTTATTATTCCAGTGAGTGAAGCTCCCTGAAGGAGCTGAACGCACAGCCTATGAACGTCTGCAACAACAATGAATATAAAAATTGAGGGACAGTCTCCAAAAATTTGTATTAACCATGATACGCATCTTGCCTTGAGCTTGTTATTTTAACATTTTTTTCGATGAAGAGACTTAAGCTTTTTAATCACTGCTGTAGCTTCCGCAGTTGCGGAAAGTTTACATTTTCCTAAGAGCGGATGGTCGATAGCCTATGTCATCTACTTATAAATTTTATCAGAGATTGGACGTTCCTTTGGCAGTGTTATCAAGCCTTGGCCCTCTTTCAAACGGAACTGAACGACCTTTAGAAGATTGTAAAGGACATTTAAGACAGGTGCCTCTACATTCAGCTCTCGCGCAACCTGCAGTAAATTTCCTAGAATGGCTTCAAGTTCGATTGGATTTCCCTTTTTAACATCAACACGCATAGAGGGCTCGAACCAATCGCCATCATCAGAATGCACCACAGAATTGATTACATCTTTAGGCAACTCCACGCCGTCGGCCGTAGCGACGGCAATAACTTCTTTCATTGCAGGAATGGAGACAGATTCGAGACCACCTGCCAGATCAAGTCTTCCGGTGTCGACGCCAGTTAAAGCACAGACCGTGTTCAAGGTAGCGTTGTAGACAAGCTTTCTGTATCTGTACCATTTGGCATCAGCGAAATAAGAACAATTATTGCACTTGTTAGAGTACAAAGTAATGAATTCGTGTGTCTTCGATTCCTGAACATCTTGAGAGAGGTTCGGATTTTCGAAATAACTGACGAGTGATTTGTCTTTCTGTGTTTGGTGGATGACGCCATTAGAGTTGTGTGAACCAATGTGCGATACGCCCGAGATTATCACATTTTTAGGATATTTTTTGATGAATGGGCGGCCGAGGTCGAACCCGTTTTGCATTAGCACGATGGCCGTTTTTTCCGATGTGACCACAGGTTCGATGAGCTCCTCTAGTTTTACAATGTCTGGCAGATTTTTGGTTGTTAGGATAATGAAATCATACGTAACGCCTGGAACAGCAGCCGATTCGACAGAGGGATAAATATTTTGAGGCTTCCAACCCTCAATATTTCCATAATCAACAGATTGAATGGCGTATCCTGCATCTTTTACCTTTTCATAATCACGTCTCACCACGATTGATAAGTTCGACTTGCTGACGTAATCGATTCCGTAAGCGACAATGGTTCCAACTCCTCCTGCTCCCACGAGCAGAACATTAGGTTTTCCTTGCATTAAAATTCGATGTGGTCCTTGTCTTTACTGGCAAACAAATGGGATTGCTTTGCTCACGTTTGAGCTGCTTGCCGAGAGTCCTCGTCTTAATATGGCTGCTCGTCCAAAGCTTTTTGGCTTTAATCGTTGATAATTATCTTTCTTCAGTTTTGTTTTTCGGAAAGATACGATGATAAGGTTGGGCAAGTTGATATTGCAATACAAAGTCGAAGGATCGGCAATGGCGGAGATATACGCCGCATGCCTTTTCGATTGTCTTAGCGTAAGCGCGAATGACACTAAAAACAATTTTGATGAGTGAGTCTTTGCCGAAAGGCCCCAGAGCCGACAAAAACATGAGCTTCGTCTCATAAAAGAACTTGAATCCCTGGCGCAGGCACTTGAAGCTCCCACGTTCCCAACGTCGAGATGCAATTCGGCCATATTCAGCACTAAACTAGAGGTCTTGCCATGGTTGAGGATGTGGATAAAGAGCTGGACGTTAATCTTGAAAGACTTGATGAGACGTCATTAGATGGAGGGTCATCCTCGGACAGCGATATTACCCCAGATTTTAGCAAACGAAGGAAGCAGGGTATTGTGATTATATGTTCTGCGGCATGCTTTCTCACGCCTATGGCCGGTCTCGCATTTTTGCCTGCTGTAACCACCATCGCAGAGCGATTTCACACTACTGGCTCGGTGATTAATGTTTCCAACGCGGTCTACAACGTCTGTATGGGACTTTCCTGTTTTTGGGCTCCATTCAGTGACACATATGGCCGCAAACCCACTTTTTTGATTTGCATGTCCCTTTATGTCGTTTCCATGGTTCTAGTGGCCTTTTCGCAGAACCTTGCCATGTTTTTCATATTCCGAGCGACCACCGCGTTTTTCGGTACGGCCTTTTTTTCGATTGGCGCTCAGATTATTGGCGACATCTATCCGCCCGAAAAAAGAGGAGGCGCTATGGGCTGGAACATAGCTGGCAGCCAAATCGGGCCACCATTGGGTCCCACGTTTGGAGCTATCATCGTTACTTACACTTCATGGAGGGTTATATTTGTTATCATGGCGATTCTAGGCGGAATAGTTCTTGCCTTGGCCTATGTACTGCTACCTGAGACCCTGATCAACAACCAACATGCTATTGCCCTCCGCGAATACAATAAGAACGAAGAGGTTGTTGAAGGTAAAAAGAAGCGAAGAAAATTCATTTTCGTCCCATTTGGAATTACGCGTCCCATACTTTCCTTCAAATACCCCTCACTGATCCTGGCAGGTATTTCTTCCATGGCTTTGATGTACAACATGTATTCCCTCTTGACTCCCATCAGGTATGTTGTAGACCCAAGGTTTGATATCACCCTACCCCTCTATGGCGGTCTCTTTTACCTGGCACCTGGTGCTGGCTTTTTTGTGGGGTCTTTGATGGGTGGGAAGCTGTCAGACTACCAGGTACGGAAAAGCTACAAAAAGAGGGGAAGGAGGGTAGCTGAAGATCGTTTGAGGATTACGTTAATTTTCTTTGGATTCTTGAGCCCTGCGTCGATAGTCACGTATGGATGGTCCATTGAAAAGAGGAAAGGTGGCATTGCTCTTCCAGTCATTAGCATGTTTATCAATGGGCTCAGTCAAACGAACATTTTCCCCACAATCAACAGTTATTGCATCGATTCAAAGACAGATGAAATCGGAGGAGGTGCCGTTGGTGGTAATTATATGGTTAGATTTTTTGCCTCCGCTATTGGCTCTGCAACTTGCCTTCGGGCTATAAACGATATAGGAATCGGATGGACTTCAACCATATCTGCTGCAGTGCTCTTAGTTGGATTTGCAGCAATGGTTGTTTTGATTATTTACGGAGAGCGTCTGAGGGTAGGAAAAATATCGTCGTTCGGTCATTGAAGTTTACAATGGCTCTCGAATGCTTGAATGTAGAAGCCATACTGTCTGCTGAAATGAAAAGTAAAACCTGCAAAAGTAATACCTGCACCTAAATTTAAATCTTGACATTTAAGCTTATCACGCATTACCCCTGTTAAGTTGAGTGCCGAGGACATAGTCATCCCTATGATCGTTTTGACACCTGCGGTCTTTGATGAGTTGGATAAGAATCTGATCGATTTGTTCACTTTTTTGTCACTATAGCCACGTGATATACGCTCGGAAAAATGCAGCTTAGCCATATTTCGTTCCGTAAGCTCTCCTCAGCACCATGAAGCAACAATTGGACAATTTGCTGAGCTAACATCGTGCAGCTTGACCCACCATTAAAAGTTTCATCATGCCCAAGCCAATTTTCACGATTTTATACTTTACTTTGAAATCAGGCTTCCCTAAATCCTCGTCTGCCAAGGATAGAAACCAAACTGGATCTAGACACTCAGAGAACACTATTATTGCTTTCTTATTAGTTCTACACCTACATTAATACGTCGCTTTACCTCTCGATTCATAAGGGAAAAAGACTGACACTATTCCCGCTAATAAAAAAAGCGCCCCACTAACAAAAATTGGAGCTGAGGTAGCCAAATTGGCGTACATACCAATAATTGGCGCGAATACCCCCAAAACACGATTAGCAGATGAGGCCAGACCAACACCCGTACCCCTCACTCTGGTGGGGAATATTTCAGGAGTATAGGCGTACAGCACACCATACATGATACTGGAGGCGATATTAAATCCACAATTCCATCCCAAATTAGCATTGCTTGTCTTAGCAGTTGTAGATCCGAACAAGATCGCCCCGGTCGCAAACATGGACAGCGCTAGACTTCCTTTTCTTCCTAATTTGGTTTCGACGAAGATGGCGCCAAGTATGGCGCCAGGTATTCCCATCACGGCTATGATCAGGGTATTCCTGTATGTCAAAGCAACGCTGAGCGGTTCGTTAGCGTTGCCTCTTTCTGCGAGGTACGTCGGAATAAATGCATTGTAGAGTGGAAAGGCAAGCCCAATTACCGCCCAAACAAATATCACGAGCGTGGAAGACAGCGCTTGCTTTTTAGAGCAAAACACAGCTCTAACATGCCCCAAGTTGTACTTTTCCATTGAGTTTTTGATGATCTGCCATTCGGAAAAACGGCCATTGTCTTTGACTTCCGCGTTCCAAGATCTCGGGTACTGCTCATCCAAAGCTTTCAAATCTTGAAGGGTGATGCTAGTTTCTTTCCCATTGATCTTAGCGATTCGATGTAGCGTGGCGACGGCGGCTTCGTCATCGCCTCTTGACATGTGAAATCTTGGCGACTCAAACACGCGAAAACTCAAGCGTATCATGAAAAGCAAAAAGGTGAAACAGCCCATCGTGAAAAGAAAATATCTCCAGCCCCAGTTGCAACTCTTCCGGACAATATCGGTTTCACAAGAATAGTTGGTGATCAAACCCCACGATATCAGGTTTGTCACGACTTGCCCAAATGCCCAAAATATACTCAGCACTGTTAGCAGATAATTGTACTTGGAGGGCAGGCTCTCGATGAAAATCGCGGAGTCGACGGGCAGGTTTCCACCCACACCAAAGCTCCAAAGAGCCACGAATACTCCCAGGGCTGCAAAATTGGGCGAGGAGCCAGCAACAATGGCCCAAACCGCAGTCCACAGGAAAGTGATGTTGAAAGCCCATCTCCTACCGATGACATCCGACGACAAGGACCAAAATAGTGCCCCCGCAAGCAACCCCAAGTTTTGCGCTAGCGTGATGAACGGGGTCTGACCTTTAGCAGGCGGATGAACTCCGTCAACTTCGGCCAATCGCGGCAGGATTAAACTTGTGGCAACTGGCCAAGCGTTGTCGCTAAACCAGCCGAACCCCGCCACCACAAACAGCCCAATCTGATATTTTCCGAATCCTATCTCATCGATAGCACGTGAAATCAGCCGAGACTTTTCCAGATACAACTCCTCGAATCCAGAGTCATGCATTTCGTATTCGCCCGGACTGACAGAGCTGAGAGCCTCGCCCTCAACCACGAATACTTCATTTTTTTTCTTGTTGTCGTTACTATTTGCACTCATCTCTGCCAATAGACCTACCGTGGAGAGGTCATTACGGCTTTCTTGTAAAGATGATGCCGACATGCGTCTGCAAATATCTGCTTCACTACCAGGTTTTATACTCCCTTGAAACTTGTTTTCTTGCTTTCTAGATTATAATCACGTGACTATGAAAAACCTCAAATTGTTTGCTGCACAGAAAACGAAGCTTCCCTTGTCTAATCGAAGCTTAGAATTGAACCTGGTGCAAGCCGAATCTTCGATTGCAACAGCTCTCATCGGAAATCAGATTGAGCATTATTTGTAAGCCTCTGTGCTTACTTCAAGACGCAGCCCTGATTGTGTATGCGAGTATTTACGAGGGTCGATTTCGTTGAATTGCATTATTGACAAGGTATCTGAGCATCGGCTGTGAGCTTTTGTGGATTCCTTAGATACTTTGAGATAACGAATTGATTTTTCTCTGGATTAATATCGTCGAATTGCGTTGTCAGCATTTGACAGCACGTGATCACAATGACATAATAGATTGTTCGAATCCGACTCATCGGGAAGCTAAGAAGTTGTATAAAGAGAGATAATGTAACCCAATGATTCTGCTTCAGGAATATTCACACGGGAAATGATAGTCGATTTGTTAGTTTATGGCACATGGATGGCTGGGTGCTGCTTGGGATGTTGTTCAGCGATCATATATGGTAAAGGTCGGGGAAATCTAGGTGGAGACTGCAATTCCTCGTATAATGAGAGTTGCAATGCAGTGTACCGGGCGAGAGCTGTGAGCTTCTCAACGATGACCTGGTGCGCACTTTTCCTCGCGTGGGAGGTCATGAACCTCAGGAGATCCTTTTTCAACATGCACCCCGAAACTGAATCTCCTTATACGCAATGGTTCAGAGATATTTGGAGCAATAAATTTCTATTTTGGTCCGTCATTTTTGAGTTTCTGTCCGATTTTCCTGTTGTGTACATTCCAGTCATTAATGACAGGGTCTTCCTTCAGAAGGGAATTGGTTATGAGTAGGGTTTGGCGCTAAGCTTTAGCCTAATTTTTTGGGCGGGCGCAGAGAGTCACAAATTCATTAAAAGGTGCTATTATAAAAAGAGGAACAGAGGGCGGAAAGCAGAAAGGGATATCGAAAAGAGGTGGTCATATGATGCTTTCGGAGAATATAGCGTGTCTGCAATCAGCACCAAAACTCATGATTCAACTGCAAAGGAATAACTATTATGGCTTAATCGTAAGTAATTGGCTGACAAGCAATGCTCGAAGGCTGGAAAAAGTATTCAGACTGACCTTCCTTCGCGATCGGAAGTTTTCTGCCCTGCCCGTTCGTTTAAGTGTACTATTGAGAGGCTTTTAGCGAGGAATTTTCACAATTTTGCTTAATTATCTTAGCAACCTTGATCGTTTTTGGACAATCATTACTGCAATTATATACAACTCTTGTGAATGCACCTCAAATAAGTACTACTTAGATCTGGAAGCAAAGACCTTGATGAAATGGTTACCGAATGCCATCGGCGATGCCCAGCACGTGCTAATTGAGACGAAAGGTCGCAATTCCAGTGACTATTTAGACTTTCACGGCTGATGTATCTTGTTGCTGTGGTCATGTCAAGCCATTTAATAATTTTTATAAAAAATAACGAACTCTAAAGATTTTGAATTAACTTCGCGAAACCCCTGCTTTTTCTTTGTTTTTGAGTGTGAAACGCACCACCTTTCCTAACCATCCATCTGCCAGAAAACGCGGCCAGGACTTGGGAGCGTTTGCCAGCCCAATCGCCGACATCCAGGGATTGTAGTATAGTCCGGTCGTCTCCAGGCTTACCCGAAAATGCTGACACAGAAGCGCCAGTATGATTGTCGCTGCCTGGACTTAGCGCATAAACGTAGTCGCCCGTCGTAATAAGGTTGATGATTGTGTCGGCAGTGTTCGTTAATGACACAATGCTAGCATCGTACAGGCTCATCTCCACAATGTGGCCGACAAGAGGGTCCGTCACAAACGCAGAGTTAGAGAGAGACGAAACCACGGCCCAACAACTGGCCTTTTGGCCGGGGATTTCCTGCTTACTGACAAACCCGGAGACACCGGAAGCTTCGTCAACGGAGAAGATAGCTGCACCAAAGGATGGGTCAGCAACAAAGTAGCGGTCCAATGCCGGAATCTGTTCGAAGCCGAAAAGCAGATTCATTTCGTTCAGAGAGGTACGAATGTCAGCAGGCGAAAGACGAGTACCCCCATATTCGGAAGCGGCAGATACAGAGTGGGCCGAAATATAGCCCTTGTTTTCGGCGGTTCCGTTATCTTTGACAGCAGTAATCATCGTCTCGTCTTCAGAACAGTAACCCTCGGATACAGTGTTTCCTGGGTCCACTGGAGGCGTCGACTGGCCTAGTTCAAACTCTCTCAAAAAGTCAAACTTGCCAATTCTCACATCGGGGCGTAGGGAGCACACGAAACACCTGACTTGGCACCGCTCGTGCCCACACAAACAAGCTCATGCAGCAGAGACGCATCCACGCTCACAGGAAATTCACCAGGTACCTTGGCGGCTGAACCCAAAAGAGTCAAGCTCGTTGGATCGTAAGCGTCAATGGAGAACATGGACACCGTGTCGTCGCCACTGTTGACCGAGAATATGCTGTTGCCAACAACTTTAACGGCACCCTGGTTGGCAAAAGAGTCAAGACCAGCAGACATATTGGCAGGGGCGCTGATAAAACTGGCACCCACACTGCCGCTATCCGTCTTCCCTCCTAGCGAGAGCGAGCCGTTCCAGTGAACGTAGAGCGCAACTACGCTGTTGGCAGCCTTGTTGGTTTGAACGTACAGTGCGTTTTTAGCGAAAGCTGCATGGGAGTCATGAAATACTGACGAGGCTTTCAAAAGCCTATGACTTGGAGAATTTGTCGCAAGAATAACATATGGGGAGTTGGAGAAAATGTTTGATGGGACTTCGGTGCATCTTCTTGCTATCCGAATACAATTTTGATTTCGCTTTATACCATGTCTGGATACAAAACACTACATGCATGAATAAGAGATCAGACTTTGAATCCAGCGGTTGGTAGTAAACCTGGTCGAGGCTATGCACTAAGCTTTCGCTCTGCTTGAGCCCGCCAGATTATGTTCGGGTAATGCAGTTCGAAGACCTTCTTCGTTCTGTTCGACGTCAGGAACAGCTGCGTACAAGGACATCAACATCCTGATTTCAAACAGCCAAAGAACAAGATCGGAAGCAAGCAAGCATGGGATTTTCTTTACCAAAGTGCGGGCAAGGGTTAGACAGTATTATGCGCATTTAATCTTCGCCCTGCATACGCTGCTATTTGCTGAAGAGGGTCCGTAGCGGAGAAAGCTGCCCACCTACATCCGGCGCATGGCCGGTCGCATCGAACATGTAAAAACGCTACACACGTACAGCTCGAGTATGGATCAACACCTTCAAGGGCGAGATCGGCTTTACAGCTTTGCGCCATGAGAAACGACTTGGTCAATCTATACCAAATATATCTTCGCAACCCATCAGGTATCTCATCATTATCCTCGACGAACACCAGATAAAAAGACGCCAGATACAACGAAGGCGGATAAAGCGTGACCTTTTTTTTTTGCTGAGACGCTTAAGCGCGTTCTGCTTGACGTTTAATGCCCTTGACTTGCGACGCGAAAGCATCTCTTCCAGTAAGCACTGGGACCATATCCGCCGAAACGTTCTCAATTTGCCGAGATTTGAGGTTAGGAAACGCTTTTCATTTGAAGCTCCCCAAAAGTCGGAAAAATCAGTATTGAGAAATCGATCTCTACTTACCCGTTGCTCAAAAGTGATAAATTGCAGTTCATACAGAAGAACGAAATTTGCCTAAAAACTTATGAATTTAAAAGCACACCTCACATATACTTGGCGTACCACGCAAGCATTTCCTCTGGGTGCTCGCCGAAATAATTGTAACCATCAAACCTGCGGGTGGTTCCTTCAATCCAAAACAACTTTTTCTGCTCGGCACCTAGAAGTTCGAAAATTGTCTCGACGTCCTCGGGCTTGGTCCAAGTGTCATCGTGTACTTGGGAGATCAACGTTGGAATGTGCACTTTAGGCACAAAAGGCTTGGGACCCATCTCAGTTGTTGTCCAGCCGCCTAACTTCCTGATCTCCTCCTCCAAGACATCGATCTCGTCTAATATACCCAATTGTGCGCAAAAAGCCTCGGCAGGATACCTAGCTGTAACAGGTTGGGGGGCAACGATGCACTTCACGTTGTCAAAGAGTTCGGGATAACGCGAAATTGCTTCAAACTGCGCATTAGCGCCCATACATCTACTCATTAATCCTAGAGTCATTTTCGAATAGACAGGGTGCTTGTCAACCCAGCGTTTCACCCCCACAGAATCCTTCCATTCATGTCTTCCTGCGCCAGCCACGCCGCCGTCTCCCTCTTCACTTTCGCCGTGGTTACGTTGATCATAGCACAGAACATTGTAACCTGCATCATGAAGGACCTTATACTCGGGAAGGAAGTTAACTTCAAAGTCACAGAGCTGTTTAAATTCATCCAAGTGGCCAGGGTAGCCATATCGATTCATAGGCATTGGATGGTTGCAGATGATTAGCTTATTAGATCCTTCGCAAGGAAAGAACCAGCCTTTGAGCGCAACTTGATCATAAGAAGGAAAAGAAATGTCTTCATACTTCAGACCGTATTCCTCAGGTGTGCGGACGATAGGACTACGCATAGAATGAGCCCAAAAATCGGCTTGAGCTTTGATGATAGCGAGCTTCTCGGGGGGAACAATTGCGGCCATGCTTTTGTGATTCTTTTTGGTGAGTTTGATCTGATTATTCCTTTACGGCAGTGCATGTATAAGGAATGTCGTGTGGTTCTTATATCTCTAGCCCTTCAAATTTTATTTTTCAGCATTCAAGGGTTGTTCGCACAAACGCCGCTGACCTCTTCCGTGAAATATTTCAAAGTATGTTAATAAGAGAGGTTCCGTGGAACGCTACTAATTATCCGCGGAATAACGTTACTAATTATTCACGGAATAAAAAAATTGCATTCGGCACCAGTACGAAGAAAATCCAAGCAAACAGAACCATCCAGTTTAACAAACACTAAAAATCTAGGCCGAGGCTTGAATTGAAAGTTGACCCTAGTTTCCCTCGAAATAGATTCGCTAACAACTAAGCTCTAATTAAAGTGACCATCTCATGCTATCATGAGTCTCGTGGTCACATGGGCAAGGTAGCAGATCTTCATGAGATGAACGACGCGTTTTCTTTGCAGGAAGCAGGGGCATGCTGCATGGAAATCTTGTTTGTCCCTCCTAAGGCCTTAGTCGGAAATCCCGGCCAAGATTTCTGCTTCTTACTACAAAAGCGCGTATATCAAGACTAACTGAGCTTTTGAGCAACACGTGACACTCATTCTGACTGGGATTTCCGACTTCAGCTCGTGTCTCTTGGATTCTGTTCGATTGAACTCATTGGTTGAAGCCAAATAACCGGAGAGTCGTACTTCAATGATTCTCAGAAATGTCTTCGGTCTGACCAGCTCAAATTCTTTAGGAACAAAATCCCTTTCGGGTACTTCATTCTCTATTCGTTCAGATAGACCCTTCTTGCCACTAATTTCTTGATTTTTTTTGTCGAATCGTGAGCTAACGGTGAGACATTGGACTTTGCAAGCCTGTGGATATGTTGATTGTCCAAAAAAAGCCAAAAAACCTTCGGTTAAGTGAATCTAAAGGCTTAACTAATTGGAAGAAGGAAAAATGAGGGTTAGGTACGATTATCTATCTGGTTGACTTCACATGTGAGTGAGAAATCCAAGGGCGAAAATCCTGCATGCGAATCAAAAGCCTTCTCGGTGTTAGTAAAAGTTTAGTTCAAATTAAGACATGGAACAATTTCAATCAATCAACCGCCTGCTGTTTTCAAATTTTTTCATAGATGACACTGTCTTTGCGCTATGTGCTATGCAGCGGTATTAACAGCCTCAAGGCTTCTACTATTTTACGCCTGGGAGCGAACTGCAGATGTTCTTTCAAGAAGCAGCTGCTGAAAAGTGACAGTTCCTCTTTTACTAAGAGATAAATCAAATTTGATTTGCGTTCGTCTTTTCATAACTGTTAAAAGCGTTTGTCTCTTACGATAGGTAGCTGCGAGATGAGCTAACTCTATTGTCGAATCAAGCTTGTCAAATAATGTTTTCCCATCGCTTTTCCTCTACTAGAAGGTGTGTAAACTGGAATTGACCCAATGCCGAGCCTTCAACGAGTTTTGCCACAGTTCGTGTATACTCGCGACTCTTACGCATTGCTCAAATAATCTTGAGCTTCCGTTTTTGTCTCATCAGCATTCCCTATTTGCACGGGATCAAATATAAATAATACAACAAACCAAAAGTTGAGGCAATTAAAGCCAAGGTCGCGCACTCGAGAGACTTGAAAATACCGGGAAACATCTAAACAGTTAGCAGTAATGTCCGTCTTGGTTACTGGATGCACCGGGTTCATTGCACAATATATTGTCCGTGACTTACTTGACCAGAATTATAGGGTTATTGGCACTGTAAGATCTGCCTCTAAAGGCAAAAACCTGAAAACCCTGTTCAATAACAACCCTTTTTTCGTCACCGAAGTGGTTGAGGACATTGCTGTACCCAACGCCTTCGACCGCGTATTTCAGAAATACAGAGACGAGATAAGGGTAGTTCTACACACGGCTTCGCCTGTCCATTTCAACGCCGAGGACTATGAGAAGGAACTGCTAATTCCTGCTATCCATGGTACCAGGAGTGTGTTGGAATCCATAAAGAAGTTCGGCGCCCAGACTGTCGAGCGTGTGGTGATTACATCGTCGATAGCTGCAATGAAAGATCCTTTCAAGTATGATGATGAGAATTTTGTATACAATGAAGACAGTTGGAGCCCCCTGACGTGGGAAACATGCCAACTCAATCCACAAGATGCATACCGCGGGTCGAAGAAATTTGCTGAGCAAGTCGCCTGGGACTTTTTGAAAGAGAACAAGGATGTCTTGAAATACAAAATGGCGACTGTCAACCCTTCTATGATATTTGGACCCCAACTCTTTGACCAGAGTGTCACAAGCGTGCTTAACACCTCGGCAGAAGTGATCAATTCTCTTTTGCATTCGGGACCAGACAATGATCTAAGCAAGGTGAGGAATGATTTCGTCGACGTTCGCGACGTTTCCAAAGCTCACTTGCTAGCTTTCCAGAAAAGCGAGTGCATTGGACAGAGATTGGGTCTCTCATCGGGTCAATTTAATGGCCAAGACATTGCCCAAATTCTGAACAAACGTTTCCCTAAACTCGAAGGTACCCTTCCCAAAGTCACTGGTGAAGGAGCGTACAAAAATAATCCTTATGCCAAGTTCGACAACTCTAAAACCAAAAAAATTCTGGGAATTGAATTTAAAACTCTGGAAGAGACAGTCTACGACACTGCTGCCCAGATCCTTAAGGTTGAGGGTAAGCTTTGAGGGATGCTTCAACACGCCATGCTACGGGCTTCCACGTTCATAAAGTATCGATAAAACTTGCGAAAGGCCGCCGAAGACGAGAAATTATGAAGTAAGCATTGAGTGTGCTAATTTATGTAATAAGGCCTAGCATATCATTCCTCTCGGGCTCATTGGAAAATACAGGAAATCCTACTGTTGACGGCAAGCGTACTCGCCTACAAAAAAATTCCACCAGATCAGGATATCATGTGATTTTACCATTGAACCGTCTTTCGGGCGCGGATAAATATTACGCCTTAAGCTATGGCATGATTGTTGAGATCGCCAAAGATGACTCTCAATGTAGTGAGGCAACGGTTTTAGGGGGAAAAACAGTCTAATATTTACGTTCTCTGCTCACTACGCAGTATCAATGCTAACGTCTCTCGTGAATAGTTCACATTATGGTTCTCTAATTAGTTCATGTTACCGCAAAAATTCAAAGACTTCACAGCATGGTGCGAAGTCTCGAGAAATAATAATGGGCAGTACAAGCGGTTTGGTTGTCGGGCAACTTGGGCCTGGAAAGTCTACCTAGAAAGTGGCCAACCTTCACTAACAGATCACGTGATCATGTTAGTGAGCAAGCACAGGAGGTGTTTGTTTTTACTAAGAGAAACTAAGAAGGTCCGTGATGGTAATATCGCTCACATCTAAGCCCTGCGGACGAATCTTGTTATGAATCGCTCTCGAACCCCTTAAGTGGAGGGAACTAACTTCGTACAAAATGCATACCTACCTAGTACTACTAGGTAGGTATGCATTTTACTAGGCTTGTATAAATCAACACTGGGGACGTATCACGAATTTAAGAGCTTGGTAAGATGATAAGCCAATAAGAAACTCAATTGATCTTACAGGAAATTCAGCTATTGGCCAATTAGATTACGTTTGAGTAAAAAATTGCCAGATGCTCCTGCCTGGTTCAGCGGGCTGACGTGACAAATTCATTGAGTTTATAGTCCATCCTAAGAGACTAGGTTTGTGAGTCACCAGAATCTTTCTCAGTGCTGGTACTCATACCAAATCCTGTCACTTTAGGGTCAAATCTCTGAGTGATCATATCACGTGACCGATATGAATAGTGGTGATAGTTTGTAAAGAGACACCGCCTGCAAGTGTAGATATACTTTTTAATCGGTCGGCGTACAACTCGACAGAGCTGCGATTACCGCTCTATGACTGGGTACTGGGATGGTGTTGAGTTAATCAAAACGCCATCCGTCGCACCGGTAAACCACAGCTTTTTACGTTGTCATGACAACCGTACAACCGAGGCGGCTGTGCAGCTTCCATGCATGTTTTGCCTGTAAGTGCCTGAAGGCAAGTTCCAAGGAAGGGCGGCTCTAGCTTGAAGGGGAAAAGAACAAAGAATGAGGTACGTGACATTTGCAACCGACAGTTGTGAGGCGAAGATTCCGCTCAATTTGCGACCTTTCGACCTTTCGACCGGCAAATGTTCACGTGTCGGCTTAGCTCGGCTTAGCTCGGCTTGCCTGCCGCTTAAGATCATTCAGCTGCACTGAATTCTCTGCACTGCTGGTTACCGTCCATTACGGTAACCAAACCTTACCAACAAGGCTCACAACGTGGCTCACAACAAGGCTTATCGTATGAAATTCAAAGCCCCTTCAACAGACTCCGGCGGTCTCTCCTGCCAAGTCTACCGCCACGCCGTGTACACATGATGTCCATCATATTGATGCTGTAATCAGGCTAGGCATATTGAAAACATAATCGGGCTTGGCACTCCAGTAGTGACGATTTTTCTTGCCTTTTTTTGTTTAAGCCATTGTAGGGTCTTGTCGCCAGATCCTGGTATAAAGCTCGACAATAATGACAAGAAAGCGGGACGGGTAATTTCCACTGAGATCTTACTGAAATCAATTCGAACCATGACATCCTCGGCCATATTCAAGGACAAAATCCATGCCGTGTTCGTCGCGGAAATTGTGTTTTATTCACTTGCGTTTCTTGCAACGTTGGCGTCTTTCGCAAGACGTGGGAAAATGACTTCAATCAAACTTTACCTGTTGCTTCTCATATCTTTGAAATTAGCAGGCACTTCGCTGTCGCTTCGTGCCGCGGTTGAAATTGTCAATTCCGGTGACGGAACCATGTCCAATGGTACCACGGTTCTGTTTATCGTTGGAGGTGTACTAACGTCCGTCGCCAGTGCTCCACTCATCCACTGCACTCGGATTTTGCTTCCTCCGCTTCCCAAAAAACGACACCCTAAACAAGCGCATTTGGAACGTTTTTTAGCTAATTTGTCCAGACTTACGCTTATCGCGGCTATCGCGACGTCTGCAGCTGGTTATGGCCAGTTGAGCGGAAGCACTTCAACTGCGGAAGAAGGTGCCAAAATTGTTCAAGCGTCTTCGATTTTGTTTCCAGCCGGTTATCTCATGCTTTTGGCCGCAGGTTCATTGGCTTATAAAACGACCCATTCGGACTGGCCACTCATTAAACTATACGGTGTTGCAGTTGCGTTCCCATTCTTCATTTTACGTTTCATTTACATCATAATTTCTGCGTTTTCGCTTACCGGTAATCTATTGGAATATCACAAATTCAGCGTCCTAAACGGTGATTGGAGACCTTATTTGGGTATGTTTGTTGTCATGGATTTCTGCATTGTTATTATTTATTTGGTTATGGCCTATACTGCACCACCTTCACCATGAAGAGAGAAAATAATTCGACCCACATGTATGAATTGTATGCGTCTTCAATTCCTTGTTAATAAATTGTTATCCTACCACTAATCTTCAACTCATAAATAGCTTTATTTATAGCTGACAAACTTCGCCTTGAGAATAACTCAACTTGGTGTCAGAGTAACGATGAAATTGACAGAACATCAAGCCAAATCAAATTACTGTGCAAGCTACTTGTGCACCAGGCCCCAAATTTACGACCTTTTGATCTCGTTAGGGTAAAGTGGTCCAGAATTTCAATGATATCGTCTATGACAAAGTTTTAAGCCCATGCATCGAAACCATTAGCTCTTCTTCGATGTGCCAGCTCGATTGAGGAAGATCGCCATAGCAGGAACGCTCAAGGCCTCCCATCAATGCGCGCCCGCAGAGCGTCTCACTTTCGTATGCAATCGACAGTCCGTTCTCTTGCCAGCGGTCTTCATTTTAAACTACCAAGCTCTACTACTTTAACGAGAACTTTGTCGCTTATGATTCCGTTCCTGTACACAACGTCGTTCAGAGCAATGACAAGTAGTATAATTCGATGTTCGTCAAAATTCATTAGTATCGAGGATAAAATTGTTCCGATGGGGACTCTCTTCTCACTGATAAAAACTCCGTAATACAAATTCATGTAAGAGCACATCAAAACTTGGCAGGCGACTCTATCGGTGATACCCCCGTGACCGGGGATCGAACGTTCGACATCTTTGATTTTTGAACGTTCTCTTAAGTCCGGAAGCAAAAAATCCCCCAAAAGGTGCGAATAGTGAAGCAAAAGTGGCCAAGTTCATCGCGTGCACATAAATGGGTCTGATCGTGATAATACTCATCCCAATTTTTTCGAAAATGATCAGCGGTGCTCTGTAGTCCTGTGGAATGAAAACTGGGTCAAGTTCGCATGTAAGCGGTGTGAAGAAGTTGGTCTTTATATCTTGAACAGGGCAGGTCATATTTGTGAAAGGAGTTTATAGTCCTGTCGGTACTATACGGATCAAAGCGATAAAAAATAATGCACCCATAATCCGCCATAAACCCTTCGAGAGTCTTCTTTGGTGATTTTTTTATTAGCTTGACGCGACCAAAAGTGATTCCACACAAGCACAAACGTCATTCAGAATGAGAAGTCCACAAAGAGGTGAAAACCAAATGAGACCATTCAACACATTGTTGAACATGAGATGTGCTTAGAAAATGACCAGTAGTTAAACCATGTGCGTGACGCAGAGAGACGCGAATTGGAATTTCAAAAACCCCTTTCTCAGATTCCAAACAAAAATGACGAAACCAAGCACGTACAAAGCAATAACAGATGAAATAATGGTTGGACGAGATGAGGTAAAGAATCTCATAGTTGAGGAAATACTATAGGAAGAACTTGAAAACGGATTGTCCGTCCAGGTAGCAAATGGTCATAAACAGTAAATACCAGTTCAGCATTCTTTTCAAAGGCAATTCATGCTCTCTTCCAGATAAAGATGTCACACCTATGCATTCTCCGAATGTGGCAATTTGACAAACCAAGATGAGCGTAACAAATCAAAAATGACCGGAAGCAAGGGTGATGAAAAATCCACTGATCATTGTGGAAGTCCATAAGGTTCGTACAATAAAATTCTAACGCTTAGACTCTTGAGGGACTCATTTGTGTGCCATCACCTTTCGTTTTGATTTTCCCATCAAAAACACTTTTCTGGATCGCGACGTCACCGGGAGACTCATTTTTTTTCTTTTTCAGTCCTCCCTCGGCGATCTACTCTATTTGTGTTGGAAGGAGCTGCCGAGGAGGCGATATCGTTCAATTGCATCATCACGTGATCGATATGACAGAATAAAATTAGAGAAATGGGCAGACGGTTCGCATTCCGCGAAAGAGCTGGAAGCTAAAACAGGTCCATTGACAGTTCTAGAATCTTCAGAACATCGTGATCAGATCATATGTGGTATGATGAATGACATACGATGAGAATTCAGAAATCTATCAACCACCGACAACGGTAAATCTCAACAGTTTGAACGGGCTGAATGAATATTTATCTTGAAAAAAAAAATTGAACCTTCACTGTCAATCAATATTAGTGAATTTGAGAATGCCTCAATAAGCCTCTTCATAGCCCTCTCTGTGGAAAATTTGTCTAAGATGCTTCTTTGGAACTCTTCTATGCTTCAGATCGCTCGTGGGCTTAGTGTCCTACTCTATTGCAAATGAAGCATTTCACTTGTTTTTTCTGCTTATTCACGTTTTGTCCTTCGCGCCGAATAACCTGATTTGCAGGAAAAACAAAATTCTCCGTATGCTAGGATTTTAGTCAAAATTTCGTGATAAGCTTGAATGTTCATGAAATTGATCATAAAATGACCCATTATCGCACCTTCGTTGTAGATCAAGCGAGAATGCAAATTAGCGATGTCACTTCCTCGCTATCCCCTTCAAAAATAATATCTTGAGTAGCACTAGGTGGTGAGGGAGGCAAATCCGCTATTTCTGATCACGAATTCGAGGATTCGCGAATACAGTCTCTTTTGACGAGCTAAATTCGTGATAGTCGATGAATTCATCACTTTCAACGGGATGGGTGTGAACTAGCCGCCATTATTCAATGACCTATAACCTAAACTTAATCTAACTGAGCAATCTATAACTTATCTAGTAGCGTAACCTGATCCTTCCATAGCCGTAAGCGAATTTTTCTTGTCAGTTTCGGCCTGTTCACTAGGCTTGGCATATGATCATTCGTTATCGCTTCCACCGCTTGAGAATAGCTCTATGACGTAAGTATTATTTAACTTCATGAATTCATTATTCTCTCAGCGGTTGTCCTCCTCATCCATAATGCAAGCCTCTACTGGAATGTTTTCAGTCATATGCGTTTCTGAGCTCAAATTAAAACACTTCAATCGATTACGAATTATCATTGCACTTCTAAGATTTGCACTCGCCAACGAAAATCTATTGTCGAGAACCTTTTTGCTTACGTAAAAGCACCTCTCTATATCAGCTGTCGATAACTTTGTGTTGTAGAAGGAAAGGACTAATGAGAAAGGGCAAACGGGCTTGATTTTTTAGCCAATAATCTTCGTAAGACCCGTCTTTTTCAGCGGGCTTCCTAAGATATCTTCTTTTTTTGAGATCTCCAGGCATATGAGCGGAAAACGATCTGCCGCATTTAAGCGGTAAGTGTGGTACCGAACAAATATATCAAGATAAGATCGATATGAATGTATTTTTACTATAGACCTTGCTCAACCGCAAAAGGGTAACATTCAAAGCTATAAAAATGCGAGTATGTTCCAGGCAAATAGTATGGTCCATCCGGAGTCATCAAGCTCATCAGGAATTACCAGCTCTCTCTCTCTACAGCAATCAAGAAATGCCTCTACCCGTCACGAAAGTTGCCGCTTGTCACATTGCTCCAGTTTGGCTTGACTCAAAAGCTACAATCAGTAAGGCCATTGAGTGGATTCACGAAGCTCATGCGAAGGGAGCTCAGCTTGTCTGCTTCCCTGAAACTTTTGTACCCTGCTATCCATGCTGGACGCAATTGAAGGCACCTGTTGACAATCACCATCTGTTCCAAAAGCTATGCGAAGAAGCCCTCTACGTCGATGGCTCAGAAATTATGGCCATTCAGCAAGTCTGTGCTGACCTAGGTGTTGTTGTTTGTCTTGGTTTCAATGAAAAATCCAGGGTGAGTGTCGGTTGTTTATGGAACTCTTATGTTGTGATTAGTGATGAAGGGTCAATCATGGCGCACCATCGAAAAATCATGCCTACCTTTTGCGAGAAATTGGTTTGGTCGCACGGCGATGGCAACGGCTTAAATGTCTCTGACACCAAGATTGGAAAAATTGGAGCGTTGATTTGTGGTGAAAACACCAATCCACTGGCTAAATACGCATTGATTGGTCAAGGTGAACAAATTCACATATCCATGTGGCCATCATTCTTCATAACGAGGAGACCAGGCAGCGAGGGTGCAAACTATGATCTCGACCATGCGAATAGAATTAGGGCTGGCTGCCAGGCATTTGAGGCTAAAACATTCACCGTAGTGTGCGCCAACTTCTTCGATGAAGCAGCCAAACAATTCTGTAAGAAAGACGATCCTGCAAACGCTGAGATATATGACAATGTTGCCCAGTGTTCTACCATGTTCATGGATCCCACCGGCGCCCAGATTGGGGATGCATTGAAGGATCAGGAAGGAATCGCTTATTGTACTTTTGATTTGAATAAATGTGTTGAGGTGAAACAATTTCAAGATGTCGCTGGCTATTATCAAAGGTATGACATCTTCAAATTCAGCGTTGACCGAACCCCTGCTGTTCCTGTCAGATTTTTGGAAGACCCATCCACGAAAATTGAGTATCCAACACCAGCCAAGAAAGAAGTTTCCTCATAAGTATACCTTTTGTATGTCCTTTTTCTGGTGTATAAATTTGGAGAGCGAGCTATTACGTTTCTATCTTACCAATTGCTTTTTTAGCGTCATGTACTATCAACATACCATTCCTCCTCCAATCGATTCAAAACCGATAGACTTTTTGTTGACCACAGATTTGTAGTTGACATGGACTGAAGAGCTAATTTCAACTTACTGTACTTTCTTGAGCATAGGTTCTGCGCGTTTCTTACCTTGGAGTTTCCTTCCGCCGTCCACTCTTCCAATTGCGGATGCTTGCGTAAATGAAGGAAAATGATTGCAGCTGTACAAATCAAATCAGCAGCACATACGTCAAGATTCTCTAAACCAAACTCCTCTCCGTACCTCGATATAAGCCTGCTGGTCGCCATGGCGCTCTCAAAACATATTGTCTTGTGAAATAGAGCTTTTCGGTCGGCATATTCTTGCTCTAAATTGCGAAGAAAGAATACACGATGCAGCAGAATTCTGATATTGTGATATCTCATTTGAAACAGAAATAGCCCTGGCGAAACTTGGGCTCTGTTTTCTGGGGCCAAAACGAAATGTAAACGCAAAAATTCCGGGGAGCTACTCTCAAACTGTGAGAGTTCAATGTCAGCTTTATTCACGATTAGTTGTAGCTCAGAGGGTGCTGATGGTTTGAAGGAAAGATAGATATGATCCAGAGGCTTAGCACTTATTATAAACAATTCAATTGTGTATCCTATCAGCGAAAAAGCTCTGGTGTAGAGATTGACTGAGGTCTTGCCATTTTTATTTGGATTTGACCACTGCTCATAATCTGACATTTCCGTGCCTGAAGGTACTAAGCAAATGATGGAACCGGTTTTGAGAAGAGTTGGTCGTCCCACCATATTGTTGAGAGTCCGCTCTAATAAGTAAGTTGTCCAAAATGCCATTCTTCTCTGTTCTGCTTCTTTCTCGGAAACAACAGCAGCGCCCTTAAATTTCTCATCAACATTCAATCCCAGGGAGTAGGCACAACTAACAGCCGCAGCGCAAAAATGCCAGGCAAGTCGATCCTGATCGTTCGATATGTAGAACAAAGCCAGAACACCGCAGCTCTGCACTGTAATTATTGTCGGTTTCTCGAACTCTTCTTGTAACAATTGACGAGACCTTGCGGCATAATTTGCGGCTTGGCGGCGGTTATTTGTATCGGATGAATTGAAGTTACATCCCAGTGCGAGAACGGCATTAATGAGAGAGTCGGTTAATGAAGTTGGATCTCTCAGGGAACACGGCAGCATGAGCTGTTCGAAAAACAATTTTTCGCTTAGAAACAAGATAGAATTGTTCTGGTACGCAAAGTAAAGCTCGCAGAGGAAAATTTCATGATCAGAGCAGGTCACATTGCTGTTACCCACCCTGTCTAAAGTGCTGAGATCAGTATTTTCCGTCATAGTCATTAGGGGAACTTCACCTTTCAAGAACGACACCGTGGAGCGTGGCCCGTAAAAGTATTTTGTACCATTTTCAGTTTTAAACTTTCCATGTCCATCAACCAAACTGTTCAGCTCGATGCTGTCGTTGACCGAACTGTCGCGTTCATAGTCCGATGTTGATTCCCTATGTTCTCCTTCAGTTTCATTTCTTCTCACCGCACGTGTTTCAACTGCAACATTGGAAGCTTTGGCCTCACGTGCGCTAATGCTTCTTGGAGCGCTTTTCTCTCTCAGTTTTCTAAGTTCATTTTCTAGATCTTTGATATGACCTTCCAGCTGCTTCACATAATTCTTACTGTAAGGACGGCGCTTATCAGAGTTATAGGAGAAGTTACAGCTTCGATGTCCGTCCTTCAAGCATCTCTGACAGATTGGTTTCTGACCGTCGCATTTCCTCTTCTTGATTCTGCAGGTATCGCACGCTAGTTTTGTTCGCATAAGTTGTGGAGCACCAGTGTCGTCGTCTTTTCCTGCCCCACGTACCTTGAACATAAGCTCAGAGCGTGAACGTGCATTTGACTAAGAACGCTTTTGAGAATGTTTATCGTTCAGCTTCTCTCTCCTTACGATATTAATCTACGGGAAAAAAGTTGTAGTTTAACAAGGCAGATGCGGAGAATGAGTTCCCGAACACTTACGCCGGCCAGTGTGCCGAGCAACAACCCCGTAAAGCTGCTCCATCATCCACGTGCGGCGTTTGAAAACTCGAAGTTAGATATGGTTGAACCGCTTGTGAGCTTTTTGAAATCTGCGAGGTACCTATGTTGGCGACTATCTATATAACTCTTCTCTCCAGTACTTGGAGCTCGTTCTAGTTTATTACCCATACATCCGGTAAATCCAGCATCCCGTAGCTAATGATTTAGATTCTCACAGAAACTGGAAGACATAAAAGTCGTACGCAGCTGAATTTGGTGAGTGATAGTCTGGCCGAAACTTATTAAATTATACCAACTACATCAAGTCCAGACTTGGCGATACATCTATGAGAGCTGATTGCATTTTACGATCCTTGAAGATCCCTACCTAAAAAAACGCATAAAAATTATACAAGGGAAGGTGAGAATTGGAGTCGTGGAGCTCTTGGTGAAGGGTGGGAGGTCACAGTTTAACTTTTCTCGCTTCGTGCAAACACCTCTGAAGTTCTTGACTATTACGGTAGAGAAAGTGAACAAATGCACGGATTGTCACAACGCTTTCATGTTTGCTTCATAAACTTTGAAGATATACTCAGGATAAATTGCGACTCACTCTACCTCCGGTTGTGCACTCCGCGTTGCCCTCAAAGGAATATGGTCCGAAGGTCGCCCTACCTCCTACGTTTTTTCTCAATTCCATGATTGGCTGGGCCCGTTATGTTTATGGTGCCACTCATAGAAGTCAACGGTGGTGAGACCCGGTAGCAGCTGCTAGCAGCTGTTTCTTTAACGCCAGCAACTCACCAATGCATATATTGACGCAGTTTTGAAAGTCCGTCTTGTAACTGCATCCCTCGAGGCTCCTGCGTAATGCTTGCTTTGCAACGCATGCTTTCTCCAGCAGAGACTAAGAAGCATGAACGAAGAATCTTAGATTGATGTACAGCCCCACGAATAGCATGAGCCTAAATTTCGAGGTAGTGAATAAACCACTTCCGGCACAAATTAATCGCAGCCAACTTGGCTTTGTAATCAAATTTGGAAGGTAAAAACTAGGCAGTCAGCAACAACAAATTTCTGTGTGTTGGGAACGAGAATATACTTGCTCTTCCTGCCAAGAGCCCTGTCGTGAAAGTTCCAAGCAGCTCAGCTTTCGGCGGCGCCGAAAATGCTTTTCATACTTATGTTGAAGCATTCATTGAAAAAGATAACATAAAGCTCTCTCTGCCGTTGTTTGTTGGCGCCCTTGTTTTCTCAAGTCCTGTCTCGAGAAGGCACTCGCAAACCTTGCTGTAAAATAAAAGGTCGATCATCCGATGTCTGGTGGAACTAGAAAATGGTTGGTGTAATGCGCAAATACAATCTAAGAATCTTGATCAGCGCGGTGCAGTAGGCTTTGACTATGGTTGAATTATACATGCCCATTTCCAACGAATTTCGGCACCGTCATTCTGCTAGAATTGTCACTGTTGAAAAGGAACAAGATGGACAGAAATAAGGATGCAGTTATTCTGACAGTAATGATTTAAGACTGGAGTAAAACACATTTTAGAGCACAAAGTCCTGTTCATATAACACGAGAGCCGAAGATACAAAGGTGTTGACAAACAAACAACAGAGCTTGGATAGTTGAGGTATTCTTTCACCGCATACTGTTGCTTTCAAGTTCTCCATCGTCGTAGTTATCTTGCAGATGCCTTCGTAGACCCCTGTCATAGTATTGTCAGATGAGTAAGCTGTCTTCCATGAACTCCCTCAAAATGCAAGCGAGCTAAGGATACTTGACTGCAGGTCATTCTCGAGGTACAGCTCAAAAATGTGAACCCTGATCAACTCTGCGGAATCGTGGACGCTGTAAACGCACGTCCTTGGTTTGCAACCTTTCTCGCCTGAAAAAGTACTTATTTAGCAACACTGTAAGTTTAGCCCTTTCTAACCCAAAGGTTAGAGGGACATGTATCGTGCTTATTGTACGAAGTCGCGGTCAGTAACCGACTGAGCTGAAACAAAGAACTTTTCTGCAGACCGTGGAAAATTTGCTCCTCAAATGCCTGAAATAGAGCGACCCATCGTTTCTCGTTGACGTGCAACTATCACCCTGTGAAAACCCCATCAACTCTGAAATCCAAAAGTAGTTCGAAGATACACGCCGCCTATTCCGAGTGTCAGAGCTAAAATAACTCGATTGTGATTTCTCATAATGAATCTAGAACCATAGCGCCGTGTCAACATCATTCAGGCGAAACACAAAAGAGTAGCACCATTAGTTCTAGCTTTATAGGCCCTTCAAACCTTTCAGTGAAGATGTAGCTGATTATAGGATTGAGGAAAGTCCTTCGGTCAAATGCATCGTTGTAGTTCTAAAAAGCCTGTTTGGAATAGGGGGTCGGTTGAATTTCATGATCGTGATATGATTTTAATGCTCTATAGTTTAATGCTGCAGTCTTCTGTCTTCTTAATACAACCAGCTTAGAGTAATTCACTGAGTAGCCTATTTCCTTAAAGTTTACGAATATCCAACTTTATGCGCCGCTCAACTTCGAAATTCTGGAATTCGTACAATCCTACCAGGATTTTGCCACACTCTCAAATTCAGGAAGAAGATATTTTGGTACCAAACTATGTCATACGGGAACTATTCCTTTCGATTCAGAACCCTGTTCTAAGGCGATGGGTTTCAACCTCCTAGCAAGAAGAAGTTTTACAGTGTAATCTCATGAAAGAACGTTTTGCATAACAGTTCAATCTCAGACTGAACGTTCATCTAAAGAAAGTTTCATTCTTCAGTTCAATTGCGGTAAGTAACGGCCCTTTTCCTGGAGCAGCAGTAAGTATCTCGTACACTATCATTGTGGTGAGTTATCTGCGGGTGGTCACTTTCCGCAACGTAAAGCGCAAATCGGTTTTTCACTTGCCGGTTAGATAATAGCGAAAAATGATAATATCCCAAAATCTGATTCATAGGACACCGGTTCGAAAGACATGGCTCAAGGGATATAAAAGGTGAAACTGATCTCGGTCAAAGGAATATTAAATGCTACTAAACTCGAACACCTTGTCCAGAGACTGGTAGTCAGATCTCTACCACTCTTTCACAATAAATTGCCCACACGATATCCCATCGGGAAGCGCGCCAAATATTCGAAATGGCTGAGCTAACAAACAGAGACAACAAGAGTACTTTGAAGCCAGATGTGGTTGTATCAATCGATAAAGGATCTTTGAGTGGTTATGTTGATGATATCGCAGATGTTCCTAATTTTTTGAATATTGATCATCAAAAGTTACTAAGAAAACTTGACCTTCGCATCATTCCTGGTGTGACCATTCTTTTTCTACTATCCTTTATTGATAGAGGAAACATCGGGAACGCAAAGATCGCAGGATTGGCAACAGACTTAAATCTCGTGGGTAATCAGTGGAATATTGTCTTGACAGTATTTTACTTCACTTACTGTGCTTTTGAAATTCCGTCAAACATGTTGATTGCAAAATTCAGACCGTCTATTCTTTTGCCTGCGACCATGATCCTGTGGGGGATTGTCATAACATTGACTTCTCTAGTACAAAGCTACCATCAACTGATTGTCCTGAGATTACTTCTTGGTTTAACCGAAGCCGGGCTCTACCCTGGTGTTGTTTACTATCTAACCCAGTGGTATACGAAAAGAGATCTCCAGTTTCGTCAAGCTATGTTTTTTGCGGCTGCCAGTGCAGCAGGCGCTTTCTCAGGATTGTTGGCCTACGGCATAGGCTTCATGGATGGTATTGCGGGACTGAGGGGGTGGAGATGGATTTTTCTCATTGAGGGTCTGCTTACCATCGTTGTAGCCGCAGTAATTTTTTTCCTAGTGTACGACTACCCCGATACTGCCAGCTTTCTCACCGAGGAAGAGCGAGAGTATATTCTTTACAAGCTGGCTCACGACTTTCATACCAGCGCTTCAATCGACCCAAAGGTTGTAGCAGAAGTCTATGCAAAGAAACATAAGTCTGCTTTGAAAGCCGCTCTCACCGATTGGCAACTGCCATGCCATATCCTGGTTCATTGGTCTTTGGTTACAACCCTCTACACAGTCTCATTCTTCCTCCCTTCTATTGTGAAAAATTTAGGTTACACCCAGGCAAACGCGCAATTGATGACAGTGCCCCCATACATAGCCGCTGTCGTATTTTCTATGCTGACTGCGTATTTCTCAGACAAACTCAACTTGCGTTCACCGTTCATCATATTTATCAAGCTGCGATGATTATTGGGTATATACTCGCCATGAGTATGGACGTGAGGAAGAACCCCGGAGGGGTCTACGCTGGAATGTTTTTGGCAGTTGTTGGTTCTTACTCAGCTTTTCCTGGAATGATCTCATGGCTAGCCATCAACTTAGCTGGACCTTATAAGCGGAGTACCGGCATTGGAGCACACATTGCTTTTGGAAATATGGGCAGCACCTTTGCCACTAATTATTTCCGTACTAAAGACGCTCCTAGATATACGCTGGGCTATGGCCTGTCAATCATGTTTATCTTTATCGGCATGTGTTCTCTGGTATTCATCAACTGGAGGTACCTTTCAATAAACAAAAAGAGGGAAAGACAGTTGGCCGACGGTTTATACGATGATGTATCGCCCAGAGAAATCCTAGAAATGGGTGACAGAAGTCCTTACTTCCGATACAGTCACTAGGACGTTACAGGACAATGTTCGACTTTTACCTACGTTTCGCGAGTGATGTGTGTTTAGTTGCATCTGGTATGATTATTGTAGCACTCACGACGAGCTTATGTCAAATACGAGGCCATAAATAAGATCGGCATCTAATGTTATCAAATAATGTTGCAAAGATTGTTGTTTTCGCCCACTCGGCTGGATAGACTGAGAAACTTGAAAGTTTTGGGCTTTTCAAAAAATTCATACCTCCGAGATTACTATCATGGCTAATCTGCATATCTAAGGTGCACTCGGGTATCGCTCTTGCGAAAGGGGAAGTCGTCTAATCGTCTGTATCACGTTATGCAAAGACACATTATAAAATTACCAGACAGAGCCTAAGAATATTTTTTCTATGTAGACTTGCTATCATTCTTTAGTGATGGCTGTCTATGAGATCAACATTTCAAATTTCGACACATCTAGTTCAGCAGATTGCTTCACCCGCTGGATTTAGCATTTGAACCTTGCACTTCAATGTACCGTCACCTTCGTTGAAATGAGTTCAATAACTCAATTCCGGCGGGGCAGACTTGAACAGTGAGTAACCACTTCGTACGAAAGCTCAAATTCTACTGATTCCGCTCGACTCGATGTGTGCTAACTCCCTATGATACAAAACCTTAGCTGATCAGGATGTCACCCAATTTTGAGATCGAACTATTTCTTCGGCGCTGATAAATACCACGCCTTAAGCTATGACATAATTGTTGAGATCGCCGAAGATGGCTCTCAATGTAGTAAAGTAACCGTTTTGAACAGAGAAAACAGTCTGATGTCCACTCCTCTGATCACTTCACAGTATCAATGCTAGCGTTCCTCGTAGATTGATTTCATTACGGTTCTCTAGTTAGTTGTTTTTCAGGTAAAAACGCCAAGACTTCACAGTATGGTGTAGAGTTTCGAGAAAAAGGAACGGGCACTACAAGCGGTTTTGGTTGTCGGGCTACCTGGGTTTGGCAAGTCTTCCTGGATAGTGAGGAACCGGGGATGTCAGATCTCGTGACCCCGTTAATGGGCCAGTACTGGAGGTGTTTGTCCCATACACTTATGAGGCTTGTGACCCAGGCATCGCTCGCATACAAGCTCTACGGACGAATCAAGTCAAAACCCACTCTCGAACCCGTTGAGTAGAGGGCTCTAATTTCGTACCAAATGCATATCTTGTACCAAGAATGAATTTCAAATCAACGTATCAATGTACGAGCAATTTAGCGATCCGGGACCGATAAAATTTAACTTTCTTCATCAGATTACTAAATGACGATTTCTAAGCTAAGGGTCTACCGCAAATTTAAGAAGTCCGGGCCGGGGCACAATTGTAGAAATGTATATATAAATATGTATACGTTTTGGTATAGTAGCGGCTCTTTTGATTTGTTGCTAGCATTAAATCTCAGCTCCAAATTCAGAAGTCATGTCTAACAAAGTCACGAATAGGTCGGTAACATTTGTGAACAGTCAAAGTCCACTGGTTATTACCGGTGAAGAACTTGATCTTGATTCCATCTACTCTCCTAATGAGCTAGTAGTCGAAATTCATGCCGCGGCGATAAATCCAATTGACTATATCCTTTACAAACTTGCTTCCCCTCGTCTAGCGAGTAAGCAGCCCAAGGCGATTTTGAGAGATTTTAGCGGTGTCGTGTGCAGATCCGGTGAAAACGTCAAGGATTTTAAAGTCGGTGACAGAATTAATGGGGTTTTCGATCACCTGTACGGCGGACGAGGCGCTTTGAGCAACTATCTGGTGCTTGATCCAGAAAAGTTCGGCGTCACTCCAAGCGTGTCTTTTGAGGGCCAAAAGTATGACGATTTTGTCTTGAACGCAGCATGGCCTTTGGTCTTTGGCACGGCGTATGACGGGTTGTTTCGTTTTGGTCAAAAACTGGGACCCTCCAGCAAAATTCTCGTCATAGGAGCGTCGACCGCGGTCGGAAACGCCGTGGTTCAAATTGCCAAGAATTATCTCAAGTCTAGGGCTGTCGTTGGCATCTGCTCGAAAAATTCGATCGACTACAATCGAGAAATGGGGTTCGACCATCTTATTCCCTACGATGACGGTGACTTGGCGAAAGCTACCAAGGTGTGCATCACAGACAAACTCGACGGGGAAAAGTTTGATTTGATCTTCGACTGTGTCGGAAACAAGGATTTTTTTCCTTGCATCAATGATGTTCTTAAACCTCGCTGCCAAAATTCCTACTATGTCACCATTATAGGTGACAAGAAGGTAAATTATAATGCCCCTAGTCTCTCGAATTACCTCCCCTCCTGGGAAATGCTCCGCCGATATGGACCATTTAGGAAATACAACTACGCTAACTTCTTCACGCAGAACTCAAAAAAAGCGCTTGAACTGGGCAACGAACTCATTAGCCACAAAGAATTTGTACCTCAGATTGATTCCGTCTGGGATTTCGATGACTACCAGCAGGCATTTGACAGATTAACCTCCAACAGAGCGAAAGGCAAAGTCGTTATCAGAGTAAAATAAAGTCAGGATTAGTACTTCGCGTGAGCTCGTTTCACGATTAAAAGTCATACGGTGGACTTTTAATATCGTAAGCCAGCAGCAACTTGGAATGCGTGAAGAACAGCAATCTGAGAGTCAAGTCCTGTGCCATCAACGAAATTTGCGCGCTTTGTTAATCGGAAGATTTTCGGAACGCGTTTTGCGCGAATGTGAATAAGCGTCAGCAACTCTTGTATATGGTAGGCTCTTATAGCAAATGAACTGAAGGCGTTCAGAGCGAAGATACTGAGTGCCGCTTCTGCGTGACTCGATAGGCTAGCAGAAGTGTCAGATATAGGCCCGGGCTTTTCGGAATCTATCTGATAACTTAACGGCCTGGTTTGGAGGGTGAACCGGCGGAACCAGTCTTGTCAGAGAATTATCTACAAAGGAAACAGACGTTACAGCGCGAGATTACGAGCTGGATAGGCTAGATTGAAGAGAATTTCAAAGCTTATAGGCAACAAAGTGGCCATTCAAGGTGTAACCGTGCTTCGCGCTATTGAGGCAGATGTGACCGCCAAAAGTTTAACCGATCTATTCGAGCTGGTTCATTACTAGGTTTGAATATTGAATGCTATGGCCTTAAAGCTAGATGAGATCGTCTAGAGCATGAAGGTTGGACGTTATGACTTATGGCGACAAGAAAAATCATGAATTAAGTAATATTCTGTTCTCCCAGTTG